TAGAGGAAAGTTGTATTTTTCATCATTGTTACATCACACCCTGACTGGCTCATCTCCTCCCCGAGACCCCTCTGCAAGGGGGTCTCCCATGGCCTACTAATGGGCTTTGGGTCTCCACTCCGCACTCCTCCCATCATTCACTATGGTAAGATTATTTTTGTTCTGATGATGCCTTACCTGAACTAGAGGAAGGTTGTATTTCTCATCATTGTTACATCGCACCCTGACTGGCTCATCTCCTCCCCGAGACCCCTCTGCAAGGGGATCTCCCAGCTAGGTTTTCTAAATAGTTAAATAAAAAAGTAAAGTTAATGTTATCTATTTCATTATTTCCTATATGGGAAACCCATATTAAAATATCCAAAATAAAAATTTGAGGAATAGTATAATATGGTTCTTGGCTTTGAGTAGATCATATTGAAGTAGGAAAGACAGGTAAGTATTGAATTTCAACACAAAATAGTAGATGCCATAAATTCAAATAACTTATTTCTGAAATTTTATTATGGGTTGATAATATAATATAATAAGTAAAGTTTGTTGAAATTGAAAAAAAATTAAATGTCCTCTTGTATCTAAGGAGCCCTGGTAGGATACTGTTTGGCTGGTACATTAAAGGTTGGACATTCAAGCTTAGACAGCTGACCCCCCATGGGAGTAAAAGGTGGCTATCTGCTTCCAGAAAGATACATAGCCTTAGGAATGTTATGGGAAGTTCTACTCCGTGCCCCAGGGCTGCTATGGGTGAGAAACCATGCACCAGCAATGGGTAGAGGTATGTTTTGAGAAAACAAAGGCAGACTTTCTGGAAGATCAAGAAATACTTTGAAGACAGGATGGCATTTGAACTGAGTCTTAATATATGAACAGGAATTAAGCAAGAGAACTATGAAAATCATTACCAAAAATAAAATACTTAACAATACATAGAATACAGAGAAACATAAGTACGGAAGAGTTTAATGTGTGGAGACTATAGCAAGAAGTTCAATATCAGTGCAGTATATACAGTTAAAGATGGAGAATGGTAGTACCCAAAACTAGAAACAATAAAAAGACAAAAAAAAATAATAATTTAAAATACAACAACAGGTTGAAAACTTAAATGTGTATTCACTAAAGGGTTTTGGAAAGGAAAAATAAGGTCACACATACTTTCACTAACATTTAGTACTAATATATTCGGACAATCAATCGTTATCACGCAATCTCTCAATTTTATCATTTCACACACAATAATCCAATAATAAGCACTTTGCAATCATGCCAACCTCCCTCCAACTGAATTACTTAACCCAACAACAAACTAAAGTTGCACATAAAGACTACTTATTTAAATTGACATTTATTAATATGTAAATTTCACACTCACCTTGTATTAGGAATTGTGCCTTATCATTTATGTACATTAAGCAGTATGCACTGGCATTTCTATAACCACCAAAAGAGTCCCTCACTAGCTCTTCCCATGATGATTTTGTCACAGCAATGTCATTGTACTTCATCCACCTGTTTTCATGATGATCAAAAATGTATGCCCAGTAATGTCCTGCATTAGCTTGGCCTTCGTGAACCAAAACTGCATGTAAGCGATAAGGAATCTAAATGTGGAAAAAGAAGAATTATATTGTTAGGTAGTCCACATTACACATATTCTATGACCCCCACAAACTATTTGGAAAATAATATTGGGACAATATATATTTTAACAACATAAAATGGGCCAGGATTACAAATTTAAATAAAATCAGCTGGAATTATTTTTAAATGTGAGAACTAATCTATGAAATACAGATAAGATGAAAGAAGACTTTTTTTTTTAAAGACTTTAAAGCAACCATAGATAGATAGATAGATAGATAGATAGATAGATAGAAAGAAAGATAGATATAATTTTATTGCAGCTCTTACAACTCTTAGAACATTCTGTCCATCAATTGTATCAAGCATATTTGTACATAAGTTGACATCACCATTTTCTAAACATTTACTTTCTTTTTGAGCCCTTGGTATCAGCTCTTCTTTTTACCCTCCCTCCCCCATCCCACCCTCATGACCCCTTGATAAATAATAAATTATTATTGTATATCTTTATCCCATAGTCATATTTATATATTAACATTAAGGCCTTATAAACAATTTTAGTACATTTAATTGTAAAATAACAAAAGTGTAGGCACTTAGTAGGAGAATGCAATTGAATGGGCAAATATTAATATAGAAATTTTAAGTTCAGCAATTTTATCACCAAACATGCAAAGGAAAATTAGATTAAGATAAAGAATATTAAGATTAAAGTAAGTATAGAGCCCAAAATATCACTTACTTGGATCATAGATTTGTCAGAGTACATTAGATCAATTGTTCGATGGATTCTAGATATGCCTTCCTGCAAATCTAAGGGTATAATTTGTCATTTAATGATTAAGTACCAAGTATATTACTTAATGTAAAACAAAATAAGCATTACAGAATTTCCTAACAGCAAGTTACAGAAATAAAGAACATGTCCTAAGATTGTTCCTGAAAATTTACTACTTAGAATGTTTTCCTAATAAAAGTAGAATACAATTTAAATATAAAATAAAGTATAATTCATATAGAAAAAGTATGAATCAAAGAAAAATGAAATTTGTTCAAATCTTTAAAGGTTACAATGAAATTAACTATACCTCTCCTTCACTTATTGATATAAAATAGAACTTTAGAACTAATAACTTTACCAAATATCACACAATTGAGTGTCTATGTATGTATACGTATGTGTGTATACACACATATACACAATTGAATAAACATGCACTATATCATCAATGGAAATAAATTTGTGGAAATTCCATTACCCCAAGTTTCTACTTTGATCATTCTTCCTACACAGTTACTCGGAGACACACATATTCACAGCTACAGTGTTCATTAAAATCTGCTCACAACCTCAGTATCGGTCAGTAAGGAAACACTTAAACTATACTGTGAAGTCATTGAAGAAGGAAGAAATTATTAAAGATTTCAAGAAAATATTAGTGATCTTCAATTAAGGATAGATCTTTCCAAGTATGATGTAAAATTCAGTAACCATAAAGGAAACAATATAATGCTCCAATACATAACCAGATCTAAATTATGAAGAAAAAACCCCCAACCCAGCTGAAAATTATTGGAAAAATATAGGCATCATATAATTATTAAAAGTAGTATATACTATAAGGTTTATTATCCATAATTAAAAATCTTATTAAAAATTAAGGAAAAGTCAAATACCTAAATATATAAACAAGCAAATGAGACAGACAAAAATGTATGGAAAAATTTAATAGATCAATTTCATTCATAATTAAGGGAATGCAAATCAGACCTTAAAAATATTGTCTTTCCAAGTACCAAGACATTGAAGGGTATACAAAGTGTCCAAGGCTTAAGCAGATACTGGGGACAGGATTTCTTATACACAGTAAGACTTATAAAAATGAGTCAACACTTTATAGAAGTAATAGGACAGCAGTAGTAATAATTTTAAATAGACGCTTTGAATCAGAAATGAAATATTTAAAAATACATCCTACTCAGAGAAGTGTATAAATATGTACTTAAAAATCCAAGATTATTTGCAACGAAGCAAAATAAATTAAATTACCATATAACCATACTTTGGGAAACTATAGGTTAAAAAAGAAAAAACTGAAAGTGAATATTGGCAAGGATAAACTAGAGAAAACACATGTCCAGGAATTTTTTTATTTCTGTCCCATAGTCTTCCATATCTAAGACCTTATCACATGAATGTCCAAGTTTCTCAAATTAAAAATGGTCAAAAACTAGTTAATTGATTTCTACTTCCTCTCCTAAGGAAGTTAAATCAGCTAACTTTTTGTCCAAAGTGACATCTATTAATTTATTATTTTTCATGCCAAGGATGTAATTGTACCTAATTTCTCCCTCTGAACACTCACTAAGAGCCAACACCCTTCAATGGTTTACCAGTAAAAGGGTTTTATTCCCTTGTTCAATGCCATACCTTGCCAAACCACTCTATCTCCTATTTTCACAGAAAAATTTAAAGGAAGAATATTTCAGAAGACTAGAATAAGCTAAACTTTCAAATTCAAAAGACTTAAGTATTAATCAGAATACCCTAAAAGTATAGGAGGAAGTACCCATAAAAACTGGAAAACCAGAATTTTTTCCCAAAGACTGCACTTAAACTTTTTCTGAAATAACCTTATCACCTTCTAAGTACTTAAGTACACTTAATACATTTGTCAAATCTGCAATTGCGTTCTTGGAAACATTTTTCAAATCGTCTGTTTGGATGGCTGACAGCACCTCCCTTATTTTTTTCTTCACCTTTCTACGCCTTCAAATCGCTGTCCTTTCATGCCCCTCTTCATTTGCGGAAACAAAAGGAAGTCTCTGGAATGAGGTCAGGTGAGTAAGGTGTGTGGGACAAGAGAGGCATGCTGTTTTTTGCCAAAAACTGGTGCAGCGATGGCTGTGTGAGCAGGTGCATTGTCATGGTAGCAAAGCCAGTCCCCCATCTGCCACAAATCAGGCATTTTTTGGTAGCACACTGTTACGTAATCTTTTCAGAATCCCTAAATAGACAGCTTGATTAACAATCTGACATGGTGGAACAAACTATAAGTGGACATTTTCGAGAAGTTGACAGATGTCCAAATCGAGATTTGTCATCAACTGACATTTCACCTTTATTGAAACAAGAAAACCACTCATAGACCTTAGTTTTTCCTAGAGCACTGTCCTTGTAAGCTGTGTTCAACATCACAACAGTATCTGTGACTTTTTTCCCAAGCAGGAAACAAAATTTCATAGCTGCACACTGTTCTCTTAAATTGGCCATCACAAAAAATGAGGTTCCAGAAAAACTGCTTTTACGAAAAAATTCACTGAGACCAGAGAGAACATTCCCAGGCAATGCTACTGGGTGCACTAACTCAGAGTGAGTTGCTCATCGCTCGCCTAGTGGGAAAAATGCATACTACTAAAGCTCTATTCTGTCCAACACAATGTCAGTTTTTTGGGAGGGTACACTCCTCGTACATTTGAGAACAAGTTTTTTTGTTTTGTTTTGTTTTTATTTTTAAATCAAGAAAGAAAACAAAGAGAGACAATGTACAGCATTAAAACCATATCCTACTATTAAGCAATAGTTATTTCGTTCAAGTACAATAATGAAGGAAATGAGTGTTCATCTTTAGAAACCCTTAATAATATAAATTCTCATACTTCAGTTATCTTTTTAAAGTACCTGATAAAATTGTGTATGTATATGTATCCACACACACATACACTCACACACACACACATCACATACACTCACACACACTCATATGTACTATATTATATATATATTGGTAATGCTAAACCTTTCCCAACTGGGAGAAAGACTATTTCAGTATCCATCTGCTTCCACAAAAGAAACTGAGTTATTAACAGAAATAGATTATTATTTTACTACTATTCTCATTTAGCAAACTCCACTGGCGTTCAAAAACTGAGAGTAGTATTTTTAAAGTGAAAGTTTTTTAATGATTTAAATATTTAATTTAAAATAATTTAAATTATTAAATAATTTTTAAACAGCCATACATTTTGGTGCTTTATATTGCAAAACAGGTTACTTTTTACATTCCTAAGAAATACCAAAAAAATTGTGGGTTTTTTAAAAATTATTTTCCAAACTTAGGGGAAAAAAACCAAGGGGTCAAAAGCTTCCAATCTTCTACCATTCTAATTTAAATCAACAAAGAAATGATATCTAAGGCAGTATTCAATAAATAACATGTGCTTAACAAATGCTTCTTGAATGAATTAATAAATAAGAAATTCCCTAATATATGAAATACATTAAGGAGAATCTTTACAGCTACCAATGTTAGTTGCTAAATAACCATCCACATGTGCTGTCAGCCCTATTACATTACAATTGCTCCTTATTGGCGTTCTACATGCTTCCCACACACACAAAATTAAGCTTGTCACACTAACGCCAACCACCACATTAGCTTTCAATCCAATTCGGACCTTAGTGTACAAAAGTAGTTCCCATAGAGCTCTTTTATCAGATATCCAAAAAAAATGGATGATATTGGGGGATGATAATGGGGTACTATATTTTGATAAGAAAACAAATATTTAATAGTAATATTTATCAAGAATTAGTATCAGTTTAACGAAAAAACAAAAAGCAAGAAAAGAATAATTTCAGAATAAAAGAGCAAGCCTTACAAGAAAGGCTAGAAGAAATTTCAACATCAACACACACACACAACATTGTTCCTATTTTTCTTAACTTGCTGCATGCCAAAACTATTACAGATTGGCACTGGACTCGAGATCATATTTGAAAATCTGTTAGAAGAGGTTGAAATTTTAAATTCAATTGTAATATTTATACCTAAAAACACATATTCTAAACTTAAACTTTTTTATGCATATATCAGAAGAAGTATATAATTGAGATATGCACACTGATTCTATGAGACATCAAGGGAGCCAGCCTAAGTAAGTCTGTTATAAACTTAGAGCACTAAACTATAAACCAGGCCACCTGTTAGGTCATTAATCAGCTGAAGAACCCGGGAACATCTTTCAGCTCCTCTAACCTGGATACTTAGACCAGAAAACTGCGAAGGCATCACATTACGTTACATCAAGCCCTGTCTAGGGAAGGACAGTAAGATTTTAGAGTACTCAAATATGAAATCCAGAGGTGGTTTCTCTTCGCTAGTTTAACAATAGTATACATATCCATCCGAGGTGAAAGCAACTGTACTCTGAAGTTTCTTACCTCTGGTGTCATTTTCGATTTCTGTCCTCCAGCGATGTAAACAGCTTTCCAGGACAGAAAATTCTTCTTCGGTTATGTGCCTTGGGGCTGGATGCATGGGTAAATCTGGAGGTATCCGAGACTGTGTGAAGGGCTTATGTATTACTGATCTTGAAGGGAGGGCAGAGATTGCTGCAGGTGATGTGCTTGGCAGTTCTGAAGAAGACGCTCCCTGTTGTTCCATTGTGCTACATTTTCAAAAAATAGAATAGTTACTGCTAAACTCACTAAAATTTTGCTCTAGGCCAAATATATGGGATTACATTTGCTTAGAATTTAAGAGAAATATTTGGATTGATTTCACATAGTACTAACAGTTTTAATATACAAGGACTATAATGTAACGTGAAATAATGGTTTTATAGTAGAAATGACTGCTTTTTTTTAAAGAGCCAATTTTTATATACAGTAAATTATAAGATTTACTTGCTTATTCTAAGGAGCTCTGGCTCTAACCAGACAGACAGTGGTTGAAGGCCACCAACCAACTGCTCCGTGGGTAAAAATGCAAAATTCTGTTCTTATAAAAGATTTGCAGTCTTGGAAACCCTACTGGGAGGTTGTATTCTGTCCTGCAGGGTTGTTGCGAATCATAATCAATCAATTCAATAACAGAGAATTTGGTTTTCGTTGATTTTTCTGTTAATAGTTATCCGCTTATAGCCACGTTCTAATTTAATATATTATTTGACTAGACTATAAAAGGTTGAAAATGTAAATAACTACATAGCAAAAATAATTAAAGTAAAATTCTAAGAAACAAAAATGAGCATTACCATCGACAACCCTAAAAAAACCACTGACTGAAAAAGAAATATTCTATATGAATATTTATTGCTGAGTTCACTAAAATAAATTATAATGTACAATATTAAAAGATCGTCTTTAAAAGCAATCAATGACATTATTATGTATACAGGTAACATTGCTATCTGTTGCATCAAAGACACTTTTTACCTTGGCAATGGCTGTGATGGCATGGAACCAGCAGGTGGGGAGCTAGCATCAATATCATCAACAGGAGACGTGCAAACAGGTTTGCTTGAGGCAAACTCCAATGCATACTGTAGAACATCTACCAAGGGGAATCTTTTAGGGCCCGATCCATAGCTGAGATACCTGGTAACAAGAAAATACATGAATGTTTTCATGTGTATGTACAGTACATTTCTGTTTTCCAATAATTAAAAAACAAAGAGAATGTGATGAAAAGACTTAAATAAATCTTCAATTAAACTGATTTTGCTTTCAAATTAATTAAATATTCTACAAAGAAAACCAAAGCTGATTAAGATGGAATGTGTTTATGCACTGTTAAAACTTTGAAGCAATGCTCTAAATTGCAATCCAATAGGCAAATAAAAATGACAAATACTGTTCTCCTAAGCTTGGTTTTATTGTTAAATCTGTCATTTGATCTCACGATCAAGATAACAACCTTTATTAAACCTCTGATTGCTTCTCACTATGATTGTTTTTCACTATAATTACTAATAATTTAAAGTAAAATATTGCAAATATTAAGATGGATTGCTTTAGCATAAACTTTTAGGCTACTGATTTTCACATTAAAATCAAAGGAGGAGAATACAGATGGGGAGGTTGCAAACAGGGAACTTGAGACCAAATTTAAACCTTCAGCTTTCTGAGTTCTAGAATATTTGACAATATAGATATTGGCTTTCTTTGAAAGTAAATCAAAAGCTCTCAATCTATATATCTAGATTTAAATAAATACACCCTCAATCAATGGCAGTGCGGTCATCTACTTGCCTAGGACCACTTCGGTGATGCAGGGTGGTAGCTACTACAACCAACATGGGGATATGCTCTCTCTCCAGGCACTTAACTCGCACGCACCATCTTACATCAGGGTCCCCTTATCTCCTGTATAAACTTTTGTGTGGCCCTGGCACTCATCTGAGTTTGTATCATATGTTTTAAGCATTCAGTCTCATGCAAGAAGTTATTTCATTATTACATTAGCTTAACTTTTTATCAATGTTCAGCACAATATGCATTCTCTGTTAACAATGAGAATATTTAATTTTTTAACATCAAAATATTCTTAAACTGTGGTTATTTTTAATTCTCAACAAAATTCCAAACTACACAATTTAAGTGAAATATCAATGTAGCATTGTTATTCCTAGAATTGAAAATCACTCACAAAAAATTTAAAGTTAAAAGCCTAGATTAATGTTTCCCAAAGTAGGTAAAAGCACCTCTGGGGGGCACTGGGCCAAGCCAGGAAGGCTGCAAAAGCAGGCATCTACACTTTACCCTGAATTATGGGCTACACGACCAAAGTGTTTCTTGCCACAGCTGTGCTGAGTGAAAATAAAATTTTTTCCTGAAAAGGTGGTGGTATGCCAAGTAATTTGAGAGCATATGGTCTTGATAATGAATAGGTATGATTCCCAATATTATTTCAGAATACTGAAATACCTCTCTAGTCTCTGTTGTAACACTGTGAGATAATCTTTAAGTCTCTTGATCTCTTCTCTTTTAATTCTTGTTATTTCTCTGTTTCTGTACATGTATCTATAAGGAAAAAGAATAGCTATAATCATTATTTCAAATTTTTTATATTTAATGTAGAAACTATGTTAGGACTAGGCATCATTTCATTCAAAATTTTACAAAAAGGTGTTAGACAAACAGTAAAAAAAATACTAGTTATTTATTCTAACAAGGAGCCCTGGTGGCACAGTGACTCACACCTGGATCTTCTAATCAAAAGTTCAGGAGTTTGAATCCACCTGCTTCTCTATGAGGGAAAAATGACGTGTTCTACTCCAGTAAAGATTTACTACTTCAGAAACTGAAAGGTCCAATTGTATTCTCTCACTACAAGTCAGAATTATTTCCCTGGAAGTAAGGTTTTTATGGCATTAATTCTAACACAATTATTAAATTCTTGAAATATACTTTTTAATTTACCTATAACACTATTCCCAGCAACTATATATTTCTAATATAAAGACAACTACTGTATTTGACAAATGGCATTAAGTATGTTATGCAAAATGTAGACACTAACTCTAAGAACATGTTATCTGAGGGACGGAACTACAGAGCAGTATAACTAGCATACTTGATAAATCAGAGGTAAGTGAAATAGAGGAAGAGTCTCAAAACAATGGATTGATATTGTACATACAACAATGGGCTAAAATACAGCAACGACTGAAAGGATGATACAGGACCAGGTGATGCTTCATTCTGTTGTGCACCAGGTCACCTTGAGTCGGAATCAATTCTATGGAACCTAGCAACTGTAGAAAATTAAGCAAGGTTTTCTTTTAAATGCAATACTTCCTTCTCTTATTACTAAACTGTTTCAAAACTAAGTCACATTTTATGCCAAACCATACCTGTCCAGATATAAAACTTGGGGAAATTCTAATTTGTTGTGAATTTTTTCTGGTCTTCCCAATGCCTGATTAAATTCAAATCTTGACAACTCAAATGTTAAGACAGGTGGCAGTTCAGTAAACCAATGCTGAAAGAAAGCAAAGCAACAACACAAATCCTTAATACTTCCTTCCTGTTTTCCCCATTGCAGTTTTAGGCATAGGATGTTAACACTGACATTGTAACGTACATCACAAGGCTGACACCATACACAGCAGATTGGGTACAGTTTGTGAAAACCCAAAGAGTAGGGAACAAAATCAGAAAAGAGAGAGGTCTTCTAACACCTCTCCTGTTGCAATAATTGTTTTAATTAAATTTTTATTAAATTGAAGTAATAAGTGAATTGAAATGAAAGTGCATAACAGCATGGCTCCGCCGTTCTAGTCTGCAGGCCTCTTTAATTCTGCCAGTATTACTGTCAGAAATGTCAGACACCCGTGATGGAGTATATTGTGAGATATAGTAGCAAAGGAAATGTAAACATATTTTTGAGTAGCATAAAATGATCTAACTTGATTGCTAAAACATAGGAAAATATTGCTTATACATCTAAAAGTATTTTGTTTAAAACTTTACTCATCTGCTGGATTTAGTCTAATTTTAGAAAAATATCCCTAACAAATATAAAATTTATAGTTTTGAGAAACTTAAATAATGAAAGCCCTTAAATAATGAGTCACATCAGCATGGTGAGTGTAGGTGTATGCCTCCCACCCCCATTTCCAGTGCCACACAACACTTGGGCAACCGTTCAATTGGGCATGACATTCAATAAATCTCCCAAAAGAATCATTTTCACATAATGGCTTTCAAGTTTCACGGAAACATATCATATCAATAAAAGAAAAACCCACAAACTGGTGAATTTTAAAATACAGAATGTAAAACACAATTTAACAAATATTTGCTAAGCACGTATTAAATGATCTAAAATTTGCTACTGTAAAAATAAACTTGTGGCAGATCCTGTGTATATGATAGCTCAAGTCACATGTTATCACACATCTATCATCAAGCTAGGAGAACATAAGTTTAAATGCAAATATTTTTAAAAGCTGGAATGATACACAACTGGCAATCGGAATATGACTAGATCTTAGACTGTTACTTTTCTCTAAACAATAGAAATAACATTAAATGGTCATTCACAGTTATTTCTTCTTCAGGAGATGTTAATTACTTAAAATAAGATTTCATGAGTTGGATTGCGTTGTCTTCTACCAAATTTTACAGGAATTTGTTTTATAAGGATATTTGATGCAATAAACTGAAATTATGAAAGTTTTAATATATAACTATAGCTAGAGGGTTTAAAATCTTTAAAACATTTTTTATTGTGATGAGTGAGTTTACAGAGCATAAGTTAGTCAATCTTTAGAGAAGCAAACTGTCACATCTTTCTCGTGAATATCAGCTGGTTGGCTTCAGTCACCAATGTTTCAGTTAGCAGCCCAGGACTAAACTACTGTGCCACCTGGACTCATAGACATATACACAAATATATATATAAATAAGAACTTGTAAGGATGCTGTAGGATAATATTCTCTACTCCATATTATGATTTCAAGAACTATTACCTTCACATTTTACTGCAATACATGAACTGTTACCATTTAAATATAATAGTTCTATGTTTTAATTCAGGAGAACCTGTAATGATCCAAAGGAAAAATTATAATCTGCAATACTATGAAAAGTGCAGGAAATAGCTTTCATATATTACTAGGGATTTTCATATGTTTGTGGTGTAATTTACCTCTCTTATGGATACATTTCTCTCCATTTGACCATTTATTTGTTCCTAATGTAACAACCAAGATTTTATTTCCTCATTGTAAAATTGACAATGAGACAACCAGACATTTCCTAAATTTACTTTAAATTATTTTGAGTATGTCTACCTTTGACGGTTTATGACTGTCAGCTATACACCTACTCCTCACTCATATCCAATCTCATTTCCTAACAGCTAGCATTTGCTAAAACAATAAAAATCTACCATTAAACTATTTTTGCACACGGACCACATACATCTGGCAGTATTTAATACTGAGGTGTGAATATATGAATAAATAATGTATGATGTATATGAGTATATGAATACTGAATTGTGAGTACCTCTGGCTCTGACTAAGATAATATTGGACAATGTGGCTGAACCATGATTTGTGGTGGTTTGGCTGCTGTGTAATAGCATGGTCATTGTCCATTTTGTGGACATGTGATCCATGTGATCATATTCCATTTTTAACAAAAATTTGATTTTCACATAATTATATGATCTTTGGAAACTAACCAGGTAAATAAGTGAGGGTAGATGATTCCTGTAAAGAATGATTAGAATTTTAAATACTATATGATTATTTTTCTTCAAATAAACTTTCTTTCCTTTGAACTACATGTAACTGTTAAGCAATGCTTTTAAGAGAGGTCATAAAATGTGAAAATGATTCTAGTTCTCCATATCACTAAAACATTTGTATTAACTTGGGGGGGATATTATGTAATGAGTCTAAAGGAACATTGAATTTCTCCAGTCAATAAATAAAACCATTTTTATATCATCAGTAATAGCCACACAATCGCTCATGAATTTGAAAGTGACTCCATAAACCTGACCTATTAAAACCATATCGTTCCTGGAAAGAAGGCTGTCACTTTTACAGGTCTCAATAGCTGGTTGTTGCTTTTTTCCTGCTGAATTGAAGTTGAAATTTGAAAGTCCTTAATTCGTGGAAGGCTCCTGTCTGCAGCGGGAGCCATACACCACTGTCATGTGTGACATAGGTTCAGATGCCATTTGTTACCTCAACAATTTGGCTATAATTAGAAAAACTGGGTAAGACTACAAATGGCCATTTGCCTTCAGGGGGGCTGTGACTGAACCTCAGCTCTTTTTTACCTTAGTACACCGCTAAAGTGTTTAAAATATCCTGAATTTATGGTGCAATTACTCGAAGACAGAAAAATGCAGGAACCACAAATATAATTTCAAATTCACCACAAAACCCTAAACAAAATCAGAATGTAAACTAGATACTAGGGGCAAACACAAGCTATCTAATTTAGGAAATTAATTCCAGCTACCTGACTGCCTTCATTCATATGCCATGTCACTTCCAAAGACATATACTTGTGTGACATCAACAGACATCTAAAATGACATTTTAGATACTGGTGGCACTTGGATTCTATGCCAACCTGACCCTGTGTAAAAGTGCAGGGGTGGAGTCTTACCCACCAACCAGGATTGTGGCCTTTCCTATAAGAACCAAACTCACTGCCACCTAGTAGTTTCCAACTCACAGCAATCCCACAGAGACCGTGAGTTCGCTCTTCCTCTCTGACCCTTGGCCACTGCCCCCTAGCTGGGACTGTGTGTCTGCTTCCCCGGGCAGCCCCAAGCGGGGCTGTCAGTGCCCTGCTTTGTTTCACCAACCCTGGATCCACCTGCGAATTCCCTGCATTCCGTTTCACATTTCTGCTTTCAGCTACATGAGGCTGAAGAAGGCTCCAGCAAGTCAGGGACCCACAGACTTGAGTTGGACTGGGCTGGGATGTCTTCCTGATATAAAATTACTTCTTGATATAAAGTTCTTTCTTACACGTATATAGGTGTCACTGGTGTTGTTTCTCTAGACGACCCTGCTTAACACAGTATTGTTTCTTTAGTTTACAAAAAGCTTTAGAAAATGTCTTTCATCACATTACTACTACCTGGTACAACAGCGATGTGAAGGAAAATTTGTTTCTGTAGTCCAAAGATTCCACTTCTAACTACCCTGTCACACATTGTGCTCAGATGTGCTTATTCAGAGACATTCTTTGTCCAGCTATTGTCTCACAAAATTAAATCAATTTAAATTTATATATATAGTACAGGCAATCTGATAACCTGCAAGTTTTATAAAGAATCCTACATAAAGCTGCATACTACTCAGTAAAGAGTAAAAATTTCAGAACAGTAAGAACAGATACACACACCTACACACTTATACAGGCACTGCAATAGTAAAATAAAAGTGCAACACAGTAATGATCACCTACACAAGTGAGGTGCTGGCTAATTGCTATCTGTTCCCCTCACTCCTACTTCCTCAACCATAGATATTCCAAATGTCTCTTGAAGAATCTAATTTATAAATTATATACAATTTATTTACTATGTAAAATGCATGATTAAATTTTTCTAAGTATTTATGCTATTATATAATTATTTTGTATTTATTGTTATCCTGTCTTTCTAAAAATTTAAACTTTAAAAAAAAATTTAAACTTTTGTTGCAACCACTAAATGTTTTAACCTGAATAATGTTTAAGCCTGAAGACCTTCTTATGTTAATTGATTATGACTATTTCAGCAAAGGCCTTCTGTGTCAGAGTAAAATCAGAATTTTTAATAAATGATACTGCATAAGATATTGAGCTAATATAGAACTCTTCTTAAAGGTTACTCATTGATCACTAAAGACTGAAGAAGAAAAGGTTCTTTTGAAGGATATAATGAAATTAAATTAGGACTTAAATTCATGATGAAAAACTATTAAGATATGCTACCCTAGGAAGTAAGAGTCTAACTGGGCTGAATTTTTGAAAATATTGCTCTACAAAAAGCTAGGCACTTAGTAACAGGAATCACATCCAACAACAAAGATCACCGACGAGTTCACACAAAGTGACAGTAGAGGATAGAGGAGAACTGCTGTCCTGCTGGTTTCCAAGGCTGTGAGTCTTCACAGGGGGAAGAAAGCCTCATCTTTCTGTCATGGAGCAACTGGTGTTCACAGTGATGACCTATCCATCAGTGCTCCTAACAGGAGCCTCAGAGCACCACCAGAGCTCTAATAGGAATCACAGGGCATCGAATGTGCTACGACTGAAACTCTTTATGGTTCTGAATTTACACAAGATGAACCATGATTTCATTTTTAAGTTAACTTTTAAAATCTAGACAGGAAATAGATATTATAGTTTAAGGCACTCAGAAAATGGAGTCAGTGAAAAGATGGAGAAAAAAATGAGTGAAAAAAAATTAAATAAAAAATGAGATTTGGATTCAAAGTAAGATGAATTTTAAGTCAGGAATATGCGAGAAAAAAATAACAACATAATTTATTTCATTTATAAGTTATTCTGAAAGCACAAAAATATAAATATGCTATCCTAACCCATACCTGAAATCTACACCCCTCATACATCAAATGTTAGTGGTGGTAGGAGGGAGGGGTGAAGAAATACAAAGTTCTAGATATATTTCCCCAATCAAAATAAAGGAGTGTTTTAATTAGATGTCTATTAACATCTTGTAGGGAGCTCTTATGCTTATAAACCTTCTAGATTTCTGCTGCTGTTGTTAGCTGGGGTCACGTTGGTTCTGACTCACATAGCAAACTGTGTAACAGAACAAAGCAACGCCCAGTCCTGCATCGTTTTCCCAATTGCTCTTATGTTCAAGTCCATTTTTGCTGCCAGTACATCAATCCATCTTCTCTCAGCCCTTGGCTTTTCCAAACACAATGTCATTTTCCAGGGACTGATCTTTCCATGGAACACATCCAAAATACATGAGACAAAGTCTCACCATCCTTGCCTCTAAGAAATATTCTGCCTGTACTTCTTCTAAAATGGATTTGTTTACTCTTTTGACAGTCAATAGTACTTTTAATATTCTTCACCAGCATCATAATTCAAATACATGATTTCTTCTTTGGTCTTCCTTATTGAATGTCCAACTTTTACATGTGCGGCAACTGAAGTTGTCATGGCTCGGGAAAGGTGTACCATAAGTCCTTTTTCAAAGTAACATTCTATCTTTTCAGCACTTTAAAGAGACCTTATTCACATTTATCCAGTGCAATGCATTATTTGATGTATTGATGGCTGTGTCCATGAGCAATTATAGATCCAAGCAAGCCCCAAATCCTTGATAACTTCCATCTTTTCTCCATCGGTTTTCTTTACATTGAGTTGTAATCCATAGTGAAGCCTGCAATCCTTGCTTGACCTTCATCAGTAAATGCTTCAAGTCCTTCTCAATTTCAACAAGCAAGCTGTGCAATCTGCATATGAAAGGTTGTTAATAACCCTTCTTCTAATCATATAGCAATGCTCTTCTTTATATAACAAACTTCTCAGTTTATATTTGCTCAGTATACAGACTGAACAAGTATGATGAGAGGTTATAAGCCTGACACACACCTTTCCTGATTTTAAACAATACAGTATTGCCTTGTTCTGTTCACACAACTTCCTTTTGATCCAGGATCAGCAAGAGCACAATAAAATGTTCTGGAATTCTCATTCTTCTAAAGGCTCCTAATATGTTATGACCCACATAGTCAAATACTTTTTCATAGTCCATAAAGCATACATACCCATCATTTGATATTTTCTACTTTCCGCCAAGATCCATCTGACATCAGCAATGACACTCTTTGTGTCAGGTCCTCTTGTGACTCTGGCTTGAACTTCTGGTAGCTCCCTGTCAGTGTACTGCTGTAATCGTTCTTGGATAATCTTTAGCAAAATGTTACTTGCATGTGATGTCAGTCACATTGCTTTATAATTTTCACTTTCTGCTGGGTCACCTTTCTTTGGAATACACAGAAATATGGATATCTTCCAGTCATTTGCCAAGTAGCTGGCTTGCAAATGTCTTGGCATAGACAAGTGTGTGCTCCAGCACTCCATCAGCTTAGTGAAACATTTTAGTCAGTATTCCATCACTGCTGGAGCCCTGTTTTTGGCTAATGCCTTCAGTGCAACTTGGACTTCTTCCTTTAATAACATTGGTTCTTCCTCATATACTACTTCTTGAAATGGTTGGATCTAGATGAGCGGTTCTCAACCTGTGGGTCCCGACCCCTTAGGGGGTCAAAGGACCCTTTCACAGGGGTTGCCTGATTCATAACAGTAGGAAAATGAGTTATAAAGTAGCAAAAAATAATAATTTATGGTTGGCGGGGGGGGTCACTACCACATGAGGAACTGCAGTAAAGGTCACAGCAGTAGGAAGGTTGAGAACCACTGATCTAGATTAATCTTCTTGGTACAGCGATTCTGTGTATTCTTTCCATCTTCTTTTGGAGCTCCCTGCCTCACTCAATACTTGCCCATACAACCTTTCAATACTGCAAATTGAGGCTTGAATTTGTTTTAGTTTAAGATTGTATTAGTCTGGGTACTTTAGAGAAACAAATCCACAGCAACTCATGTATAAGAGAGTTTTATGTAAAGAAAGTGTGCATCATGAAAACATCCCAACCCATTGCTGCCCAAGCCCACAAGTCCAACATTAACCCATTAACCCAACACCAGTCCACAAAGTCCTCCACCTCACAAAACAGAGGCAATGATGCCAACTGCAGGAGGAAAGCTGAATCAATGAACGAATATGCATCTCAGCACTAGCAGGGGTCTCCACATGGCTGCTCCAGCACCCAGGGCTGCATCGGGATAGGTCCATGTGGCTTCTCCTTGGGGATGTCTTGTAGGAAGTCAATCTTGCAAGCTGAAGCAGGGAACTGCTAAGGCAGCTGCACCCGATGCAACCATCACAAAACAAGAGACCCAAGAACTAGAAAGGCGAGGCTCACCACCCATTTATCCCTCCACCTTTCAATTAGCCCCACATGTGTTTATCGGCCAGGTTGGCACAATTAACTGACTCAAAGATATACTGTCCATTTCCTTTCTTTTTGGTTTTCTAACTCTGCCCTAGACCCTATTTAATGGATCAGAAGTATGACCTAAGCCACTGAAATAGATGATCTATGATAAAGTGTTCTAAGCACATTTTCTTTAAAAGAAAAAAAAATCTAGGCTTACATATTCTACATTGGTGCTTCTACTATATACCGTACATACTTGAGTATAAGGCAACCCAAATATCAGCTGGACACCTAAGTTTACCACCAAAACTGCATTAACACTGTGCTGAAAAACTGGGCTTATACACAAGTATATACGGTAGGTTTTGTTTGTTTGTGGTTGTTTTTTTGAGTGTGTGTAGATAGGGATGGAAGTGAGAATGCAGCAGGAACAACAATAACAAAATATTTAAAAACAAACAAAACCAAAAAAGCTTACAATTCAGGTAAAACTAAGCAATTTATCCTCTAGGGAAAAAATAACCCAACCTCTTTCTCTTTTTAGATAAACAGGGATATTATCACTTAATACATAGATAGTAGGTTTATTATCTATGTATTGTAAAGTTAGATATTAAATATATTATTACTTGATATTTTCAAGGCTAAAAGCTTAAGAACCTCTCAAGGTAAGCATAGCGACATTTCATGCATTCAGTAGTTGTGTACAGTGCAAACCCATTTGCAGCCCCAGGCTGTTCGCTGTGGATATAGGAAGGACGGACACAGATCAAGGCCCTGACCCTCACATGGAGCTCTTATCTAGTCAAACTCTAGAAATCAGCTAAGTAGAACTGATTCTGGAGCGCACACGCAATTCTTTTTCAACTGCACACATCAGCAATACTCCTGGATGGATGCAGATAGAATGCAGACATGGGCACAAAAGGAAAGATGGATAGAGAGAGAAGGTGTCAAAGGAGGCACCAAAAACTTTGTGGCAAAGTAAAGTTCAAAAATAATAGATTTTTTCCCCCACAAACTTTTTGAAGACTCCTCACATTTTCAAAGTACTTTTTTTCCTGAGAAGTAGTCAATCATACTGCAATCTCACATGGAAAGGGTTGTGGACTTACATATTTTGGACATATTCTAATAATTTTGATGTAGGTAACATAACAGTTGATCCAATATCAAGGTTTTTCCTTTTTAATATCAGAATTAGAACACTGCTAATAGCTGTTACTTACATTAAAATGTTTTTAAAAAATTTTTTTGTATATCTGACTGGCCTTATATTCTATTCAAAGGTCCTAAATAAAATAGTGCAAGTATTTTAACAAAACATTGTTTAAATGAGGGTTTAACATAGATTAAGACTACACCAATTATGGAGAACAAGTTTCTTGACTACGGCTGTCACCAACATCATCAACATCATCAACATCAGTTGCCAACAAGTCGATTCAAACTTATGAAGAAAAACTGCTCTGTAGTGTTTCCAAGGCTGGACCTTTGGGACACAGGTTGCCAGGTCTGTCTCCCAAGGTGTTGTGAGTGGGTTCAGACTGCTAATCTTTTGGGTGAAACCAGGGGGCTGGACAATGGACTCCCTTCAGAATATGTTTAAATCAACATAATGAAATTCAAACACTTATCTAGAGGCTTAAAATTGTACTTTACCGAAGTTTAAGAAAGAACTTAAGGGGTGAAAAAGAAATATTTAAGAATTCATCTCACCTCTTGCCCGGATTTTCCAGAATTCTCTGAATGTAAAGATTCAATTTCCCCTTCAATCATAGCAGCTTCCAGGCACTCGTGCAGGTCTTTGAACCCGTTGACCTGAAGTGGGTACTGGCCAAACAGTTCAGTATTTTCAAATTTTTTACCTATAGTAGATATTAAAAGATTTTAATGCAAATTGTGCCCCAAATCTGAAATCTGTACCACTGACTTATGTCCCAGAGGAGTGAGTAGAATATCCCTGTTTGCTTATGCATGTGTACAAATTCATGCAGACGTACGCATGTGCAAGTAATTACATATATGAGAAGACTTCAAAAAAAGTTCGGCTAGAGTTAACATTAGAGTTAAAAGGCAATGCAGAAATTAGAGTTAAAAGACCATGGAATTTCCCCACAAACTCTTCCAAGCTCCCTCTGCTCCGTAAATAAATACCCTTTGAATAAGCTCCTTGTAAGGAAAAGATACTGTGCTACATACCAAATATATAGTGCAGTGAACAAGAGACTGTCTTGAGGTTGAAGGAACTCTAAGCCACTTTGATAGAATGCCATTATGCACCAAAATAAGAAAAAGAGAGGAAAAATCCTTTCTGCCAACTCATCGTGACTCTTTCCGAGACGGTGACTGTCCGAGGAGTAGAAAGCCCTGCCTCTCTCTAAGGCACAGCTGGTGGTTTCTAACTGCCAGCCTTACAGTTACGTACGATACATATGTTTAAGCACATAGCATTTTCATTGTAAGTGTCATGAAAGGAATGAACAGATAAGGTGCTATGAGAAAGCGCAAAAGTGGCACTTAGCCTAGTCTTGTAATCAAGGCTCATGAAAGCATCAGTCAAGAAATCAAGTGATGCACTGCATGCATATCAAGGAAATCTTCTTCAAAATGTCTTTTTGAAGTGTTACAAAGATGTCACGCTGAGGACTAAGATGCACTTGACACAAGTCCTTGAATTTTTAATGGCCACATAAGCATATAAAAGGTCAGCCAAGAATAAGAAAGACTGGAGACAGATTGATATATTTGAATTATTATCCTGATGAAAAATATTCCGTGTACTATGGACTCCCAGGAGAATGAACAAATCTGGCTTGGAAGAAGTACAGCCAGAATGGCCAGACTTCGTCTCCCGATCTTAAGTGGGGTCAGTCCCTGGAAAAGGACATCATGCAGGTCAAGTGAAAAGAGGAAGACCCTGAACCAAATTCACTAAGTCGCTGTAACGACAGGCTCAAATACAGCAACTGTGAGGACGGCACCACCGGGGCCATGTCTCCCTCTCTTGGACACAGTGGACACGGAATGTACACCCTCGTGTTGCTAATAGTCGGAGCAGACTCAGGGAACCTAACAATGACTCGAGTGCGGGAAGGTGGAGCAGGGACGAGTTTCATGACAAAGTGGCATTTGGCTTGAGAATTGTACAGTGAGTAACTGTTAGTCGGGCCAGAGAGTGGAGGGTAAACTGCTCCCAAGTGAAAGCATTGTGTAAAATAAAACTTTAGGAAACTTAGGTGAGTATGGCAAAAAAGTAATCTCGAACACCCTCATTTAAACACACAATTCCTGTAAAAATGTGTCAAAACCTTATTTATACCACAAATGCTTACTTACTAGAATCGGGAACAAAGACTTTAATATTCATTGGCGAAATAAGTATTAAAGTAACAATCACTTTTAAAAACCACAAAACAGAAAAACTCACGGGTGATACTGTAAACAGTGCTTGGTCACAACCTGACTTGAGTTACTCTATTGTTTCAGATACATTATTGTAACTTCACATAAAATCAGTACAATAATATGACCATACTAAATTTGAACATTATATTCTATGTAAAATATTTCCATTAACGACTATTTAGCATTTGAGGCAAACACAAATACCCTGAAACCTCAGTGAATTTTTTAATACCTGGCTAAATTTTGAGTGAATGTTTGCTAGTTTTTGAATCAAACATCGAAAAACTGTATTCAAACAAAACTTCACAGAAATCCAGTACTTCAGGTCATCATAGAAAATCAATTTTCTACATTGCTTCGGGAATGATTTAGGGAAAACTATTTCAACCATCGATACACTAAGAACTTTGAGGAAAAATATTTTCCAAAAGTATATGCTTTGAGACGTATTACTATTACCATATATACTCGTGTATAGGCTGAGTTTTTCAGCACATTTTTAAAGCCGTATTTGTGGTAAAATTGGGTGCTTCAGCTGATATTTGGGTGGGCTTCTCGAGCAAATATGGTACATGCGGTATATTTCAGTGAGCGCAATGCTATTAAAGTGACTAATTCTAGAGTATAAGCAACAGGTATTCAGGGTTTATGAAGTAATATCACCCTTAACCTATTTTTGATAAACCTATTTTTCAAAAACCTTTTTGAAAATTGACTGCTAAATATGTTACAGTCATTCAAAAATGGGGACCTTCCAGTACCTTGTGTGATGGTGCTTGATTCGGCTTTGCACAAGAACTGGAAGGCCCAGACGAGGAATCTTCAGCGACACCACCACCAGACCAAGCCCGTGTTCAATGTCAGTATTCTGTTTAAAGGACCTCTCAACTTCCCCATTAATTTCTAAAGCCCAACAACTCACAGAATAATAAATGTCTTCTCATTAGAAGAATATCGGTGCATGATTAACTATCAATTAGGATGGATTAATGCACTCTCTACCTTCCTTTATGGTCACTCAATTCTGTGTGAGCTGCAAACGAATAGTGGCGACAATGCACAGCAACTAATAAACAGAGCACGTCAAGTTAAAATAAAAATGGTTCAACAGGGACTGAGTCACAATAAGAACAAGCTGCGGGTGGACAACAACGTCCTGTCACCTGTAACACCAAGCAGACCTGGGCACCATACCTTCAAGCACTCCCACAGCTAGGAACCGGCCGTAGAACAGCTCTACCATTGGGTTCTTTGGCTTCTCTTCCTCCCTACAGAGCGGTACAAAAAACGCAAATATGGTTATAGTTTTGAGATTTATAAATAAGAAATAGCAACAATATCAAAAGAACTCTAATATAAGAAACAGGAATAAAGTTCTGTGGTTATCATGTACTCAGATTCTACTATTTACAGAGGCACTTTGGGCTAGTTACATAAATTTATCTATTCCTTTGCTGAGAGAAGTAACAATACTGTAACTCAACTGAAATCATGAAAGAGTTTATATTAACATATTGAGTATATGTCAGTATCTACTCAGTATGTGCTATTAATTATAATTATACATTTAAATCTCATATTTTGAGCCTGTACTATATAACATTTGAATTTGTCAAGGGGAAATAGTTGCTCTCTATTAGAATGCAATGCTATGAAATTTTAATAATTTATTTACTGTTTTTAAAATAAGAGTGTACACCCTCCAAACATAAAAGCCTCAATAGTGAAGACCTGCTCTGCCCCTGGATCCAGATTTCCTACTGAGAACAACTGAGGGCAAGCAAGTCACTGCATCCTCACATCACTCCTCCGTAACCATGAATGACTTTTACTACTATTCAACAGTGTTTCCTTCAGGTGGCCCTGCCACTTTGGTAAGTAGCACTTTCCCACTCACTGCCCCCAAAGCTCATAAATGCCAGACTCTATAACAGAAGACAGTTGCTCCCCTAACCCACTCCCCACCCCCCAAAAAATGGGTTTTTACACCTAGGTATTGTGGACTTAGTGTCACAGTTAACCTCTTGAGAGATTTCTCCCAATGAAGTTTAAAGTTTAAAGCTCTTTGTCTGGAGCTAATTGGTCCTGAATGATTGTCCTCTAAGAGAACTGAAACAAGGACAATTTAATCCACAATACTTTCCAGACTTTCTGCTAAATATCCCATCAACAGCAACTTATGTCTGTACTGCACTAAGCACTAAATTCTGGAAATTATGATTTGACAAACAGCTAAAGGATTTGAAGTATTTTTGTTGTATCTCAAAAATAATAGGACATACTTATTCATGTGTCCTAACTACATACTTTGTCCCATTGAGTCCAGGCTCCAGTTATAGAAACCCTACTCTATTCAGACCTAGAAATGACATATGTGTAGCTAGACTGGCCCCCAAACTTAGAAAGGATCTTTCTTTTTGGTTACATAACAACTTTACTTTTGACATTAACTTATTAAACCTTACCTAAAACAGCGGTTCTCAACCTGTAGGGTGCGACCCCTTTGGGGGTTGAATGACCCTTTCGCAGGGGTCACCCAGTTCATAACAGTAGCTAAATTACAGTTATGAAATAGCAACCAAAATAATTTGATGGTTGGGGGTCAGCACCACATGAGGAACTGTATGAAAGGGGCGTGGCATTAGGAAGGGTGAGAACCACTGCCTTCATAGATTATGAGAATGTAATCAGGAAACTTAACTCTGAGAATCTGGGGAAAAAACCCACTGGCATTCAAGTGCATCTCGTAGTCATGCTGTAGGACAGAGCCGAGTTACTCCTTTGACTTTCCAAGGCCTCCATGAGGCTATATATTAAAAGTTGGGAAGCAATCTTTGCTCTTAATATTGTATTGTTACAACACCCTTAATCTCACTGCAGACCTTCTAATAATGATCTTCATTGGACAATAAAGCTGGTATATATTTTAAAGATTAAAAAAGGGTAGATGAGAAAGGTACTTAAGAGTTGGATAAGGTATATTCTCATTATTTATGTAACTAGCTCACATGTAGATTCCACATCAGAGCCTTGTAGCAGCAAAGCCTCAAAGGTCCACTGGTTTCTCAGAAAAAAAAAGACCCAAACCAACCCCTCTCCCCCAACATACACACACACAGAGTGAACACTCCATATTATGCCATGACCACATGAGGGTGAGTGAAGGTCACCTGAAAACGTGCTTACTTTTCCTTTCTGGAGGCCAGCGACACATTGTAAATAGCTTGATAACGGTTCAATGTAAAAGGTTAAGGAATGTTTAAAAGAAACTTCCTATTGCATTTCTCATATTTCCACGTGAAAAAGCATCAGAATTACCACTCAGCCTCTTTCTCAACCACCTACCCACACGTCCTCCTGATGGACAGTGACTGTTGACTTATGAATATGTGCTTTAACCCTATGGGGACTCATTATTTAGATCCTTCTGAATAGATTCTGTTCTCATAGTAAAAACCCAAAACATGTGTGGTCATAAAAACAGATTGACAATAACACAGATAGCATTTAGACTCCCACAAGTCTGATTCAGTTCTATGGGTTGATATAAAATATGTAAGAGAAAAAAATATATATGGCCTTCTAAATTTCACATTAACTTACGTTTCCTCTTCAGCTTTCATTTGAAAGGCATCTTCTAACCAATCGAGCAATTTGTGTGTAAACTCACTCACATCTTGCTGTGGAAAGAGCAAAGAAGTTGCAGATAATTCAGCCTACTCATTATGCAAATTGTCACAACATAAGGCCTGTAGCCAGTCAAATGTATACCCACTGACTCCTTATCCTATCAAATGTTTTACACTAAGTGCAAGTTTTAAAAGTGATTTAATCAGCATGAAGTCCCTATGTGAGAAAAGCAAGCATTGGTAATTAAGTTTTACTTTGGAATGAGATTAAAATTCAAACTTACAAATGGGATTTTATAAAACAACAATGCCCCAAGAGATCTTTACAATGAACTTTATAAAAAGATGAGTCCTCATTACCAAAGGGCTCTTCATTTTTTGAAGATGATTAATGATGTCATTCATAAGAAGACTAGTGTGCTTTGATAAAATTACTAGGGTAAGTAAAAAACTATTGCTACTCAGGTTCTAGTTGACACACATGTTAAAAACAAAATGTGTTTAAACGTGTCAGTGTGATCAGTCAGTGGATGGCTGCGGGTAAGTTCACTCAGTAAGACACCGGTCTTCGTCTTAGGTGCCTTACACTTAAAAAACAGTCCAGTCAAAACAGTGGACTCCATAGCCCGTTAAATTCAAAACAGAGAAGTCAGCTCAGAAGCAAATAGTGGCCGTTTGGCGAGGTTTCAAAAGTTTCATTTTCATACTTTATCTCGGAGGATAACAGATAATCTTGGGAGTTTACAATGATGAAGTTTAAAAAAAAAAAAAAGAAAGAAAGAAAACTGCTGGTTCAAAAGCCCGCAAACTTGATGGCAGATTATTTATTTATTTTTATCGCAACAATGAACCTGCACATTCTTCAAGGACACCACACTGTCCTATGAGAATCTCATGAGAACACTAGATGGCTTCACCTTGCACCCCTGCTGCTCTTTCAGAATGTGTCTCGTTCCCCAAATTAAAGAATATTGGGCAGGGTGAGGGATCAGTACCCCAAAATGCCATTTGGATCTGGTGTAAATCAAGCCACTAATTGAGAGGTGCCATGGTTTGGGATACCCTCCCTGAGGGTATCCTCAGAGCGATATCCTTGCTCTTAACACTTTAAGTTTCTAAGAGCCTCTATAACAAATTGCCACAAAGTAAGTTTAAATTCCATGAAATTTATTCTTCCCAAGTTCTCGAAGCCAGAATTGGAAACCAAGGATATGGCACGGCCATAAACCCTCCAATGACTCTAAGGCAGTGGTTCTCAGCCTTCCTAATGCCGCGACCCTTTCATACAGCTGCTCATATTGTGGTGACCCCCCCCAACCATAAAATTATTTTCGTTGCTACTTTATAACTGTGATTTTGCTACTGTTGTGAACCGGGCAACCCCTGTGAAAGGGTCGTGTGACACCCCCCCAAAGGGGTCGCGACCCACAGGTTGAGAGCTGCTATCTAGACGAACTGTGGCCCAGGTGTTCTACCTTAATTGTGGTCAGTTCCTTCTTTCTCTCTGCTGGCTTCTCTCTCCTGTTAACCCCTCAATCACCTCATATACAACATGAAAGTTAAACATTTAATAAGGAAGACCAAAGAATAATCAACATATTTGAATACTGGTGTTGGCCAAGAAGACTGAAAATACTGAAGAACAAACAAATTCGCCTTGGAAGAAGTACAGCCAGGAAGATTCCTGGAAGTGAGGATGGCAAGACTTTGTCTCACATACTTCAGGCATGTTGTCCGGAGAGCACAGCCCCTGGAGAAAGACATCATGCTTGGTAAAGCAGAAGGGCAGTGGAAAATAGGAAGACCCTGGATGAGATCGCCTGATTCAGAGGCTGCAGCAATGGACTCAAACATAGTAATCGTGAGGCGTGCAGGACTGGGCAATGTTTCATTCTGCTGTGCGTAAGGGTGCTAATCAGCCAAAACCTACTTGATGGCAACCAACAGTAGGAAATTTACATAACTCCTTAAAATAACTTCTTACATCTTTTCCTAGCTTTATGTTTCTTGAAAGATTTTATATCTCGCAGAAACAACTCTGTTGCCTATCGATCGAAGTAGACTCTTCTTTGGAAGTTACCTTCTGTCTTCTTTAGAAATTACATTAGTTTTCTGTACTGCTGTAACAAAATATAAATTGAGTAGCTTAAAAAACAGAAATGTATTCTCTGGGTGTTCTGGATTTTAGAAGTCTGAGATTAGTCTACCATCAGTGTTCCATACCTTTCAGGGCTTTGGAAAGCAATCTTGAGTATTCCATGCCTCTCTCTCAGCTTCTCCTAACAGCAATTATTGGTATTCCTTAACTCTGGCATCAACACTCCAATCTCTGTCATGCTATTCTTAAGCCATCATAACTCCAATCATCATATGATACTTCTCCATTTATGTCTAGCTCGCTCTCTCGCTCTCTCTCTTCTCTTAAGGGCAATGGTCACATCAGATTAGGGTACAGTAAACTACGAAGATACAAAGATGCTATTTCCAAATGAATTTATATACACAAGTACTAAAAAAAAGGAATCAAATATATATTTTGGAAGGCACAGAACTCAGTATAGCAATTGACCTAATAAATAACTTTACCTACCTTCACTGAGAAAGAATAAAGAAGGCCTTTACTACAGAAGTGTACATTTAAAACTAAAAAAAAAGATATGATTAAAACTAAAAAACACTGTTGCATACAAAAGGGTATCCCACAAGACTTGCATAATATAAAAAGGACAAAGGTGGAGGGCTTCAAAAAGTTTGTGGAAAGTTTTTCCATTATCTTTTATTTTCATCATAGTTTTTGAGCTTCTTCAAATTGAAATATTTCAGATTACTTCCAAAAATACAACAAAAGTTTTATGATGGAAAACAGGAGAGAAAAACACTAGAAAAACAAAAGTAAAAATAGGAGGTACAAGATCCAACAAATAGAAATTTCAGAATAAGAGAAAGTGGAGAATCCTACAGGTAAAACAGATAAAAATCTCATTTGAACATAAAACTAATGAGACAACAAAAGAAGACATTAGACTTCTGAGTAAATATTACAGGCTTACTTACTGTTATGAGCTGAATGTGACAAAGAATATATAAATCAAGTATAACCTCTGGTGCTTCTAAATACTATCTTATTTGAAAATGGGATCTTTACAGATAAAACCAAGCTGAGAAAAGGCTAGGAAGGTAGGTGCTAGTCCAATATGCTCATTGCCCTTACAAGGGTAGGAGCGGAGACACAGCAATAGGGACACAGAAAGAATGCAATGTGACAATGGGAACAGATTGGCTAATGCTTTGAAAAGCCAAAGAATGCCCACGATTGCTGAATAACAGAAGTTAAGAAAAAGATACAGAACAGATTCTTCAATAAAGCCTTCAGAAATAGCATAGCCCTGCCAAATTGTGACAGAATACTTTCTGTCACAGAAAATTTTTCTGTGGTTTTATGCCAAGCAGTTTGTGGTTATTTGTTGCTACAGCCCTAGGGAGTTAATACACTCATCTATCCGAAAGAAACATATTTTTAAAGGACTTATAAAAGAAGTCAAATGTGTGCTATGTATAGTAGACATAATTAAAATAAAGCAAGAGAAAAAAGTTAAAAATAAGTAAAAGGGTAAGTGGAGATACACCAACCAAAACCAAATTCCCTCTCACTGAGTCCGTTCTGCCTGAGAGCCTCGTTACAGCACAGTAGAAATGTCCCCGTTACTCTCCAAGATTATAAATCTTTATGGAAGCAGAAAATTCATGTTTCTCCCACAAAGCAGCTGGTGTTCGAACAGCTGACCTTTTGGTTAGCAGCCAGACATGCAACGCAATACAGCACCATGGCTCCCGTGGAGATATACCACAGAACCAGAAATAATGAAGGAGTTAAGAATGCGCTATTAGACAAATTAGGATATTTAATAACACTAGAAGTCTTAATTCCCCATCGAAATTTAATGGTTATGAATATGTATGTACCAAATAACATAGTCATAATCTACTTTAGACAAAAAACCTAGGAGAAGCATGAAAAATTTATGAAGGAGCTTCAAAACTGTATCAAAATGGTATTAAACAATAATGGAATTTCTCAACAATCTTTCTGAAACCTCCTCAGAAATAAAAAACAAAAATATGAGTATTAACATAAAATTCCAGCATACATAAATAAGCAAGCACATTTTTCAGGTTTGATTAAGGTAGACCCCATCGATCTAAGTAGAATCATCAACTGCTTGGCAGAAGAAAAATGAGGCTGTCTACTCCCATAAAGATTTACAACTTTGAAAATCTTATAGAGGGTTACTTTTGAGTCGGAACAGAATCAATGGCAATGGGTAGGATCTGTTCTTGCTATACGAAACAAGACCAAGAGAAATAAACCCACTTTCTTTAAGCTGATTCCAATTGATAGTAACACCATAAGGATGCTGCACGGGGCTTCCCAAACTGAATCTTTATAGGAAACAGACAAGCTCATTTTTCTCCGAGTGGCTTGTGGATTTGAACTGACAATTTTGCAGTTATCAGCCCCATGCTTAACTCAATGCACCACCATGATGACTCTTAAGTGGATGGCTACACGTTAGAGATAATATCCTCTTTTCTCAAAGCATACAAACAGCATTTATACACACTGATCAAGTATCAAAACTCAAACCAAATCTATTGTCACTGAGTTGAGTCTGACTCAATGTACACCAGTGGTTTCAACCTGTGGGTAGCGACCCCTCTGGGGATTGAATGACCCTTTCACAGAGGTCGCCAAATTCATAATAGTAGCAAAATAACAGTTATGAAGGAGCAAAAAAATTATACGGTTGGGGTCACCACCACATGAGGAACTGTACTAAAGGGTCGCGGCATTAAGAAGGTTGAGAACCACTGCCGTAAACCTACAGGACAGAGCAGAACTGCCCCATAGGGTTTCCAGGGCTGTACCTCTTTACAGAAGCAGACTGTTACATCTCTCCCCCACGCAGTGGCTGTTGGGTCGGAACTGCTAACTTCTTATATAATAATAACTATTATGCCATCAGAGTTGGCATAGTTGGCATTATAAACATTAGAAAAGGGGTGAGTGTGTGTGTGCTTATATACAGCTACAGTAAAGTGAAACTACTTGATATGGTTTTTCTATCCACAATCTTCATATTTCCCACTAAATGATAGAGTGAGATGATGTGAAACTCTACTAGAGGGGTAGTTATCAAGGTCATCATTCCTCTGGGCTGAAGTAGGAACACAGAATCCCATATCTATCAGGAAGGAAGAGCCATCAGTGGAGCACGTGCAGGATTCCTGTGGGCAGGGCACCATAACAGAGGCACCAGAGTCCATGGCACACAGACCATGAAAACAACTGTAGAACAAGTAAAGCTGAGTGCCTTTGGGCAGGAGGCTAACTTTCACACTGGACAGCCCAACAGTACGTATTAGTGTGGATGGAGTGTAGCACTTGCCTGAGCACAGCTGAGACCAAGGGGCCATGTGGATGAGGGCCTAAGGACCAGAAAGACACATGCCTGCCAGCATAACTGAGAAAAGATGGCTGTGGAAAAAAGAAGACTGAAACCTTAACATATTTTGATCCTGACTTATAGCCTGTTAACTTCCCTAATAAACCCTTTAATCATGAGTATTTGCCTGTGAGTTGTGTGTGATCACTGCAATAGATTAAAGAAGCCAGTAGAAAAAAGTAGTGAGCCACCAGAGGAATCGTTTATTATTATTATTCATAATTAGAAATAGATAAAGAAGGATGGAAGGTGGAGGTCTGTCTGATATGGAGTTGTATTCTTCCACTTGTGTATATTCGGGAAGAGGTCAAACATGGTTCCCAAACCATTTACTCAACACGTAACCCTTGAAAAAGCATGCTTTTGAAAGGCAAAGGTCATTAAGTTTAAAAAAAACTAAAACTAAAAACATATGGCACTAATCATTTCTGCGTGTGCAGCTTTTCTCTCCAGTAAAGCAAAAAGTGACTTCTTACCAGTTCTCTTGAATTCTTTGTGTTATGCACAGTACTGTATGCCTGAATAGCATGGCGGGAATAATGATGCTGGATACGCTCCCAAGAAGCACGAGAAAGTCAAGAAAAAGTTGAATTGCTTGTAAGTAACAGGGTTTGATGTATAAAGCTATGGTTGCTCACCATTTTAAACTAAAGTCATCCAGCATAAGGATCATTGTAAAAAGAGAAGGGAATGGACACAGTAGCCACAGCAGCTACACCAGCAAGTGCAAAAGTCGACTGCTTTTTGTGTAGTTCCTTTTATCTCCTACTGAACATGCAACTTTCATATAGATACGATCTCTAATGCATGCTCCATTCAAAATATGTTAACTGACTCTTTATGTATCAGGAAGACTTCCAGTTAACAGTAGGCTATTAAGTGTTTGAAGAGTCAAAAGTTACATGTGGAATTTTGACTATGCAGGGGGATTTAGTATGTGAGTTGTAGAAGCCTCAATTAAACTTAGGTGTATATATGTGAGAGCATCTCTAGAACATAAACAGGTATATCAAAAGCATGTGCAGTATATTAACATTAGATTGTTATATATTGGTGAAGACCTATTTACACTTTGAAAATATTTAACATTTTGCTTTTAATTATAATTTCCGTCATTAGACATACAACGACATTTATCTTAACACTTTCAACAGCATTATTTATTTTGCTCAAGTCTTCTAAATAATAGTTTAGGTTTATTTCTTATATGGGTTATTTAAAGGAGATTGTTTGATAAAGCTAAATAATCACATCTTAAAATTTCAGCTATCCTTGGAAATACTGCTTAAGGAACAATCAGATTAAATATTCAATGGTTTAATAAACAAGTAGATACAAAAAGCTACCTGCTGTGAGTCATTTGATTTGAAAGCATCCTTAAGAATTTCAACTGCTCTTGATGGATCAACATATTTCCGCTTTGTTCCAACAAGAAGTGCAAATAGATACCGAAGCTCTCGCATAAATGGCAAATTCCGATGTTCCTAATAAAAAACAAGCAAAATCTAAGTGAGGATTATTTTAAAATGTTGGCACCCAAGTGTACATTAGCCAAAAACTGAAGGATATGGATCAGAGAAGTGTTCAGTACTGATCTATCATCATCAAGATGAACACAGGATCCTGAAGGTAGAGTTCAAGCATGAAAACCAGCAGAGAGCCTGACTGGCACTACGTTTACAGTTTCAGCATTAAGTACCACCTATTCACAGCAGACAGCAGGCCATGTGGGTGCACACATTCTCATTGTCCACTTGACACTTTTAACCTTTTTCCCCCTTCCTCTTTCTTTGCTCGTTCTCTCTGGTGTCCTCTCCACCACATGTTCCACCTCTTTACACAAGTCTAAGTACATACAATAACACTAACAAAGGAGTGGGAATTCTCAACCAGAAGAACTGTTTACTTTCTCACTTTTCGTACCTTTGTTCTATAATAATGCTCCTCTCCCCCCGTCCCCTTTCATTCTCTCCCACTTCCTCTTCCAGTGGGATCCCACCCTCTTGAGAATATGTATTCCTCTCAAGCAAAGGAGGCAGGCCTGAAGATTTTAGCACAATCACCAAAAAACAAGGCCTTTTTCCCCTGAGTGCACAAACCCACCCCCCACATTCACACTGTCATGGCAGTAGAAATTCAGCACCCACACACTAGGTCCTCTTTCTGCTTGCCTAAATATCCACTCATTATCTTTTTCTACTTTTTCCTCCTGAAATGTATTTCTATGAAGTCTCTTAATTCTGATTACCCATCTTAAAATACAGTTTTCCATTAGTTTAACAAATCTGTTGGTTAGTATGGACAGCCAATTACTACTATCATTTCTTTTATTCTCTCCTCTGCCCCTCTACATCCCCCAGTTACCCATGTCTCTCCCTTTCTCCATGTAACCACTGTATGTTTCCCGACTATTAGACCTCTCCCACATCACTAGACAGAGCCTAGTGCACAGAATATCAAAAATAACAAAGAAAACACACAATATAAACACACAAAATAAAGGACTAGGACCTATTAAAAATAAAAGATGTATAAACAAATAAAAGGTAAGTCAAATGAGTAAAATATGAGCCCATGGATTGAGAAAAAAAAAATCATTAAATAACACAACAGACAGGGACTAGTTACTAAAAGACCTCAATAGAAAACAAGAACAAAAACTCCAATTAATAGGTGGGCAAAGGACATGAATAGACAGTTTACAAGGGACAACAATTAAATGGCTATCAAACACATAGGGAAATGCTCAAGATCACTAGCCTTCTGGGAGATGCAAATCAATAAATGAGGAGCTATATCACCTAACACTCACAAAAAAAAAACCCCAAAACCCATGCTCGAGAGAGTAGGGAATGACTGGAACTTTCTGCACTGCTGGTGGCTTGTAAATATGCTTGGAAGAGAGCAAGATGGCTCTCTCTGAAACAAATGGGAACAGAACACCATACCTTTGTGGGACATTAACTCAAAGAATTAAGAGTCAGAACACGAACAGATGGATGTATGATCTCCCATTTCATTGTAGCAGAGTTCAAGACAAAAGCAGGTTTCTGCTCTCAGGTCATGTAATCTTCTAAACCTATCTTGAAGCAAAGAGGTTGAGATCTTGCCTGGCACACAAGAACCATATATCACCCGCTTTATATCCCACTTCTTTAACAGAGGAGACGACCTCAGCTAGGGTAGTTTCTCAAGATGGAAGCAAAGGAAGAAGATCATTCAGCTGCTCCTTGTAAAACACTGTGTGAAGGTCATCACAAATCAACGGAAACTCCTAACAAAAGTGATAAACTCCACTGGAACTTCAAGTCAAGGTGGTGGGAGGGAGGCAAGAATGACTCAGAGAAGGTGACTACACTTTTCTGTTGGTGGCTAAGCCATGTAGAAGAACCTTCCATGGGAAAAATCTATAGAACCTAAGGTGAGAATATGTGGGACACTATGTTCCTAATTGGTTACTTTTGACCTAGTTTGTGACCCAGGCTATGTGCTATATAGACTCCTGGGGCTTTTAGATTCTGTCTTTTTCAAGGCACACAACATCCTTCATAGGTCACACCTGGAGGATTCAATGTGGAAACCCCACTAAGTGAACGGGACTTTACTTCGAACTCACCTATAGCAGATGTAAGGAAATCAACATACACCCTTGGATTAAAGGCTAAAACACCCTAGTAAGGGAAGAATGAGATGTCTGTTATCCCGTGGCTATAGAATAGGTGGTTGCTAAACTTTGGTTTAGATATTTTACTTTGAGGATGTCCAGTGAATGGTGGCCTGGGACTACCAGAGTTACTATTTTAATGCTCTCCTTGCTTTCTAAAAACATGTATTGGTCTTGCAGGCATGGTGCTGCCTTTGTGAATGATGGCTATTAAACACTTTGCCCTATCACCAAGCCCCACTGTTCCTGTAAACAGTCTCCAGTCAGTTAAGAGTTTAATCTGTAAAAGTTAACAACTGGTGATCGAAGTCTGAAGCTAACCTATAATTGTATAATGTCCTTGTCTCAATGTTTTAAATTCTATAACACTGTTTAAATTAATGACACTATCAATAGAACTGCCTTATGTCCCAGTGGGATGATTTATCATGTACTCTCTCTTAAAATGATGTCTCTAAAGTGAACAGTCATATTTAAACCATATATATGAACAGATTTAGGGCTCACACTTAATTCTAGCCCTGATCTAAGAATTATTTAAGACATGGCCTTATACTTTATATTCACCCTCATGAAGAGAACACTGAAGATACTGGTCCTATAGCAAAGTGTAGTGAAGAAAACAGATGGTTCCCAGCTATCAGAGAGAAAAATGTCTGAGGTCTTAAAGGCTTAACAAGCAACCATCTAGTGAGGCATCAGCTAAGGCCACATGGAACAGGCACAATGGCCTGTTTGATCTAAGAATTATAAACAATAAAATCCAAATCTGAATGAGGAAACAGCATCAGAGCTTAAATTATGAATACTCTCCTCGCAGAAGGCGATAAGTGACTGCAGAAACCCGAAACCCATTTGGCAGGGTCTCTACCTGGATTAAGCCTCTGGTGAATCCTCTCGAACACAGTCCAGGGATGTGAATAACCTTGCTGTTGGAGAGAGCGCCTTGTAGAATGGATGATGACAGATATAGTTAGGGCAGAATGTAATACCTTATCATTTGATCTTCCTTTCGACACATTTTAAACTTATTTCAAATGTTTGCATTTTCTGCTTTTCTTTTGATTTATTTGTTTTATGTAGCTGTTGGGTTTTTGTTTGTTTGTTTAGTTCCTGTTTGTGTTTTGTATGATTTTCTGTACATGAAATTCAGGATAGGTAAACCTATAGAGAGAGAGTAACTGGATTAATAATTACCTGGGTAACAAAAGGGACATTAGGAGAAAGGGGAGTAAAAACAAGTATGATAAGAAAATGTTCTGAAATTGTGATGAATGCACAACTCTTCTTGAGTGAATCATTAACGTGTAAGGTATGTGAAGAAATGAAACACTTTTTCTAAAAACTAAGCACATATATCTATCACTGCCAAGTTTCCTCATACTTCATTCCTCCCCTACTACTCCCAGGCACCATGGTCCTTTTATGTTTTCTAAAAATGTAAATAACTTCAACTTTACATCATGTAGTCCTCTTAGTTTGGTTTCTTTCCATTGTCATTTATTTTTGGCTTCCTCCATAGGACTGAGTGTATTAGTATTTAATTCCATTTTATTGCTAAGTGGTGTTCCACTGTTGGAATATATTAAAACTTATTTATCAGTTAAATTTTTCCAGCAGCTGTGACTATTGATATGGACACATGTTTTTATTATTCTTTGATAAAAACCTTGAGGCAAATTGCTGGAGCATACAGTACATGCTTCAGAAGCAACCAAATTGTTTTTCAAAGTTGTTAGACCGTTTCATGAGCCCACTAGCACTGTATGAGAGTCCTGGCCATACATCTGAGCAACACTTGAGTATAGTCTGCCTTCTTAATGGGTGCAGTAGCATATCTGATTTTAAATCGCACTTCCCTAGTGACTAATGGAATATCAAAAGAACAAATAAATCTGCCTTGGAAGACGTACAACTGGGATGGCAAGACTTCATCTCAAGAACTCTGGACATGTTGTCAGGAGAGACCATTCCCTGAACAAGGACCTCTTGCTTGGAAAAGTGTCAGGGAAGGGGAAAAGAGGAAGGAAGACCTTCAACAGGATGGATTGACACAGCAGCTGCAGCCACGAGCTCAAATATAAGACCAATTGTGAGGACTAAGCAGTGTTTCGCTCTGTTGTACATAGACTTGCTATGACTGAGAACCAACTCGGCAGCACCGAAAAACAATGACCGTTATGAGCAGATGATCAGAGAAGCTGGATTATACAAAGCAATGTCACTGGTATTTCAGATACCAGCAGGGTCACCCCAAACCGATAGATTTCAGCAGAACGTCAAAATAAAAAACACTATGAAGAAAGAATAGGCTGTTCATTTCTGAAGAATTCATCACTGCAAACCTCATGGAGAGCAGCAGAACACTGTCAGACAGAGTGCCAGATGAGTCCCTCGGGTCAGAAGACACTCACAATTTACCCTCTCAAAGTACAGATGAACACAATGATGTGGAAGGGGGAAAGCTTTCAAGGCAGTCATTTGCTGATGGGCAAAACTCAACATGGAGGAAACATCTGCAAACATCTATTAAGAATCAGAACTTAGAACGATGAAACATACACCTTTCCTCTAGTTCTTAAATGCTTCCTCCCCACCCACTATCATGATCCCAATTCTGCCTTACCAATCTGGCTAGACCAGAGGATGTGTGTGCACTGGTACAGATAGCAACTGGAAGCACAGGGAATCCAGGACAGATGATCCCTTCAGGACCAGTAGTGAGAGTGGCAATACCAGGAGGGTGGAGGGAAGGTGGGGGAGAAAGGGGGAACTGGTTACAAGGATCTACATATAACCTCCTCCCCGAGGGACAGACAA